GAATGTAGTTCTTCAACTACTTCATTCTATTGTATTGTCCTATGGCTCTGCTAATGCCCCAACTGGTTTCCCATGGCATTTTTTCTTTTTTATTTTTGAATGTTTCTATACTTCAAACTTGAATTGGAATTGTCAGTTTATATAATTGTCTAACCTACTTTGCTCTTAAGTTCCTTCAAGGTCTAGCAGAATAAGCATTATTTAAATATTTATTGAATTGAACTTCTTTTGAATTTCTAGAGCACTTTATGTGTACTCCTTTTTGGGCACTCAGAGCCTTCCACCTGATTTTATAGTGACATTTGTGTATATCTTATTCTCTTTTTTTAATTAAATTTGTTGTTGTTGTTATTCATGGACCACATCTTATTTGTGCTTTCCCCAAACATCTAGTTCAATATCTTTCCTGTAATAGAACTTAACGAATGTTAAATCAATAACGAGGCTGAGGACCTTTCTTGAAAAATAGTACTCTCTTCTCTTGAGCTCTTCGGTAGTGCCTAGTTTGTTTCTCCTTCTAGTTTTTAAAGGAATCCTGAAGCCTTTATCTTTAGGGTGTATGTACAGTAATGGAGTTTACTCTTCTCTCAGTAGATGAAAATGGCTTAGTCTAAAATCATCAGTTGTTTGTAATGCTGAGCTAGAATTGATAAAGCAGCAGTATGTTGTTTCCTAAGATGTGAAAGAATATTTAACTGCATACTTATGTAGTTTGCAATGTTCCTTATATCTGAAGAGGCTATTACCAACTGAAGCAAAACTAGGTGTTTTATAAATATAAAGGACAGAAAATAGTAATATGGCTGCATTCCTCCAAAGTTAAGCTGGAATATGCCTCAGACTAATCTGTACAGTTCACATTCACAGAGGATGGGAGGGGGCAGTGCTTCCTAGTGCCCTGGCATTGCACAGCTTGTTTGACTTACTTTTTGGAGTTTATAAGACTTTTGGTTCTTGACACAGATTTAGTGCATGATGCTCACCAGCATTAACATTTATTTTCAAAGAAAAAATTTCCAGGTTTGAGTGAAACAGTATAAATAAATAAACACGCAGATAAAATAGATTAGAAAACAAAGCTACAAAATAGAAGTGTTTATCTTACAGAAGAGTTTACAGATCATAGAAAAATAATTCACTATAAGATTCTTTTAAATAGAAAAGTTTTCTGATATACAATACATAAAAGATGAATCCGTTTATAGTAAAGTCGGTAAATATTTGTTTAGGACTCTGTGTAATGCAAAATACATCTGCATAAACACTATAATTAAATAATTCAATAGATATCTCTGCACATTTATTTTGTTCAGGCACGTGAGGGGTGCGAAGGTAGTAGTATACTTATTGCCTTCAAGGAGCTTACAATCAACTTGCGTGGATAAGACAAACAAAAATAGTGCTAAGGCCATTGTTTCTTTTGTTTGTATTCTAAGTTCTTAAAAGAAACCAGCTGGATTAATCATTATTAGGAATGTAAAGGAGAAGTATGTATCCCGAGGGCATCATAAAAAGAGAATGCCCCATCTAGCTGGAGAAAGGAAAGGCTTTGTGGAGGAGAGGGGTATATGTACAGCCCTTAAACAATTGGGTAGTGGCAGAAATGGGGTACCCAGGAGTAGAAGTGGGTTCTGAAGAGGAAGTTATTCCATTTAGATTGAACAGATTTGAGGTACCAAATGTGATTTTTAGAGGAAATACAAGCAATCAATTGAAAAATGTAAAGCTAGAAATCAGGGGAAAGACTCTCTAGACTTGAGAGTCATCTGGGAGTAAGTATTTAGAGAAGAGGTAGAGGAAAGGAATTTTGGAGTAACAGCCAAGCTCAGGTGCTAAAAACAGGAAGAGGAAATGAAAGCGAAGGAGCCATCAATAACCCTAGAGTTGGGGTGTCAACTAGGAGAGAGATGTGTTTCTTAACATAGAGATAACAGTTTCAAGAAGGAAGAAATAGTTAATGGTTTGAACTGCCAGAGACAGTGGAAGACAGTGAGGTCTGGGAGGGCTTTGGTGAGTTTCACCAGTGCAGGATTCAGAGGAAAATGGCAGCGTTCAGGGATAGAAGCGGAAGTCACAAACTGGCTGCCCTCATGCAGATTCTAGCCTAAGTTTATATTTTGTTTGATCCATTTTGTGTTAGCTCCTATGGTCTTTTAAAAATACAGTAAAACCTTGGATTGTGAGTAACTTGTTTTGCGAGTGTCCCGCAAGACAAGCAAACATTTCTATTAGGTTGGCGCAAACGTAATTGTGGTTTTTGCCATTATTTCGCACCAATCTAATAATATATTTTAACTTGGTAAACGAGCGATGTCTTGCAACATAATAGTTTGTTTCCAGAACGAATTATGCTCGCAAACTGAGATATTCTGTATATACTTTTTGTCAACATTTAAAAATCAAGGTATTTCACATAACAGTTCACACTTTCAATTTTTCTTGAAAATTTGAAACAACTGGCAACACTGGGCCTGGGTTTCCTCATTGTAACAAAAATGCTTAGAAATGACTAGACTGTACCTATTAGACAGGGCATGAGCTCCCTCATTTTGTAAGAACCATCCATCTCTTCCTAAATATTTCTTACACCTCGCTCACTTCACTTATGAGTATTTTAAGCACCTGAAATCATTTGACATTTTGACATCTAGATCAATGGTTTTCAAACTAGTATGTGTCAAAAATCACGCAAGAAACACAAATTGCAGGTCCCCACACCTACGGTTTCAGATTCAGTAAGTCAGGGGGTGAGGCCCAAGAATTTGTTTTTCTAATAAGTCTCCAGGTGATGCTGATGATGTTAGTCTGGGGACCACAATCCAAAAGGTTAAAGAATAAGTAAGGGAGCAGTAAGGAAGTAATGCAGGAGTTTAGTGTAGCAGTTAGGTTCCTGGACTTTATGTTCAGACAGAACTAGGTTCTGTTTATTCACCCAGGAAATTAGGATGATAGTGCCGACTTCATAGGTTTTTGTTTTAATCTAAATGAGATAAATGAATATAAAATATCTATCAATAACCTCAAAGCACCTAGCTTATTGTAACTTTCATGAAATAATTCTATTGAATTGTTACTATCATGACTATTACGTGTTTCAAGAATATTGATTCTGCGGAGAAGTTCAGATTGATTGCTAGTTTTGAAGCAAGAGTAATCAAGATATTTATTTATTTATTTATTTATTTGAGAGTGAAGTATAGAAGAAAATTACTGTTTTCATGACAGCCAAATTGATGGGAAGTTACCAGTGGAAGGAGTAATAGTAGGGATATAAAAGCATGTAAAGCCCGTCAAGGTTTTGAGATTCAGGAAGCATACTGGCCAGAGCTGTGAGAACAACCTTGAATTCTGTCCCTTGAATTCTGTCCCCCGAATGGAGGAACCACATCCATTTGCAGTTCCGCACAGCTGGAACTGAGAACAAACTGCCTCAGCATCCCCGTGGACACCACTGGTTTCAGTTTAGCTGAACCATTAGTGAGGCATTCAGTGAAAATTCTGTGAATTGAGGACCCCACTGAGTCAGTGGCTTTGCTTCAGGGGGTTTGAGGTGGAGGGTGCTTCTCTTAGCTAGAGGTTCCAATCACCCTCTCTCATTTGTAAGGGTCTGTAGCTCAGAGGAGTCATTCATGTTGTGGGGCTACAAAGGTAGACAGCATGCCACAGCCTGTGGACAGCTTCCACCATAGCCTGTTGATTGGGGCCTCACTTTGTCTATTAGCTGATAGCAAAGACCGAGTAAAATGTCCAAGTAAGACCCTTCTCTCTCTAGTAATCAAGTCCAGTATGGTGCTAGGCTTCCTTTTTGATGGTTTAGACTAAAAAGACTGCAGTTTTTCCTTGACTGTTAAAGGGAAATTGCCCACATTGCTCCTCAATTCTGTCAGTTTATTATCTACTCCTTCTGGTTGAGGCTTCTGACTTGCTAACTAATAGGACATCACCAATATAGTAACAACGTGGAACATCAGAAAGAAAAGTCACTTATGTAGATCTTTACGGCAGGTAGCAGACGAGTTTAGGTATTGAGGAAGTACAGTAAACATATCAAAGGTCTTGCCATAGGAATAAAAATTGATCTTGGACCTTGAGTGCCAGTGGGATAGAAAAAGATTTTGGAAGGATAACATACCAAACGCCATCAGTCAGTGCAATGGATTTAGTCAGGCACGATGTTTGGAGTAGCTGAGGCTATCGGATCCAGAAAACCGTGACTGTTAGCATTGTGTCCTTGTCGCAACTGTCAAGAACTATGAAGGGTCTAAGATTTTACCCTACTTACAATCCAAAAATCCTGCTGCAGTTTCATGGATGCTGTCAGAGTCTCCTAGGACAAAGAGAAAGGGCTTTATTACTTGCAACAATAGCAGCATCCAGGCAGCATTTTCTTGAACCAGTTCCTGAAGCCCTGATTCCTACAGGGCAGTAAAGATAGCCATGTGATACATTCACACGCAATGGAGGATAACCCTCAGTTTGGGGAACACAAATCTTTTACAACCATCAGTAAGAAAATCTGTTATTTCTGTCATCCAAAGCTATAGTTATGCAAAGATCCTTGAAAATTATTCCAGAACAAAGTCACTCAGTACCTCTGCTTGTTCTGTGGGCTCCAGCAAGTACCACAGAGTGGAGATTCCTGAAAGTACAGGAACTTACGTACGATGCAATCAACCCTTCTATCTTCATCTTCCCATTAACCATGTTCAGCTTTTACCAGATCATCAATTTACATTTGAACAATCCAAGTTCAACACTCCCTGGTGAAAAGCTTTGAAATTTATAAACTTGCCTTTGAATAACTGTCCCATTTTATGTTTCTCTTTTGGAGTAATATATAAAAATGGGTTAAACAGTGCATTCATATTCTAAAACTGACATAAATAATACATAATAATATTTGTTCAGGTCTTAGACATTTTAATGTGCATATTAAAAGTTTGAAAAACATTGAATTCACACTGCAGGAAACAAGTATTAATTTTTAAACTTTTTTTTAGCTTACAGGTTGCAGTGGACCAAAGGAAAATGCTTCATGTATTGAACAGAATAAAGAAAATCAGTGTTTTGAAAATGAAACGGACAAGAAGACCAGTGTAAGTGTTACTGTTTTCTTCATTACTGTGTTTAATGGGCAAGGTACATCTTGCTCTCTATGGGATATAACCTAATTTCTGGCTTTGGCCTGGTCAGCATATAGGCTTCTTCTGCTACTGAGCTGACATTGATCGTGTATTGTTTTGAGTAGTTGTACGTTTCGTGTTGAAATTTTTTTTTTCTGTTTTTTGATATAGAATCTTAACTTGCTGGTGTTCACACAACCATTTTATAAGCTACTTCATTTCTCTTCTCATCTCCTATCTGGTTCAGGTCTTCCAGAAAAACCTTCATATCATGCTTTAGTAGTGACTTTCAGGTGCTTTTTTTTTTTTTTGATAGCTTCCCCTAAGCAATCTGAAAACTACTGCAATCATACATTTTTTGATCATCATCTTATGTATTCATTCAAGACAAGGAATCAAAATTAATCATCTATTGGGCAATGTTAAAGAGGTCATACTGCTTTTTATAATGAAACCAAAAACTTCTGTCCAAGGAAAGTATGTGTATTTACAGGTACAGGAATTTTACAAATCGTCAACCTCAGGTTTAATTTATTTCTGATCAATTGCATGAAGGTGACCCTTCTTTACTATGGCTTAATGATGTAAATCAGGGTTCCATTATCCATTTTATTCATAGACATCAATTTATCTTTTTACTTGGATTTTTCATATTTTATAATATTTATCCCTTTTTGAGAAAAGGGATGCACTGGATCTTTAGTATCTTTACAATTTACACAACACCAAACAGTGTCTTATAATGCTTAGGTATATGTTCTTGGTTGAATTGTGTCCCTCACAAAATTCATACGTTTAAGGTATGACCCCAGTACCTAAGAATATGACTATATTTGGAGATATGACTGTATTTGGATATATTAAATTTATTGGAGTGACAATGGTTAGTAAAATTACATAGGTTTCAAGTGTACATTTTCTATAATACATCTTCTATATATTGCATTGTGTGCTCACCACCCAGAGTCAGTTCTCCCTCCATCACCATATACTTGACACCCTTTACCCTCTTCCACCAACCCCCATCTCACTCCCCCACCCCACCTTACCCTCTGGTAACCACTATACTATTGTTTGTCTGTGTCTATGAGTTTTTGTTTCTTTGTTTCACTTGTTCTTTTGTTGCTTTCAGTTTTATATCCCACATATGAATAAAGTCATATGGTTCTCAACTTTTTGTCTGATTTACTTCACTTAGCATAATAATCTCAAGATCCATTCAATTGTTGCAAATGGCAGTATTTCATTTTTCTTATGAAAGAGTGGTATTCTATTGTGTATATATACCACATCTTCTTTATCCAATCAACTATTGAAGGACACTGGTTGTTTCCATGTCTTGGACAGTGTAAATAATGCTGCAATGAACATCGGAGTACATATATCTTCCTGGATACATGTTTTCATATTTTTTTTGGTATATACCCAGGAGAGGTATTGCTGGGTCATATGCTAATTTTATTCCTAATTTTTTTGAGGAACCTCCATACTGTTTTCCATAGTAGCTGTACCAATTTATACTAGAAGTGTATGAGGGTTCCATTTTCTCCACAGCCTCTCCAGCACTTGTTAGCATTTTTTCATATATTTGTTTGCTGTTTGTATGTCCTCTTGGGAGAAGTGTCTTTTCAGGCCCTCCAGCCATTTTTTATCTGGATTGTTTGTTTTTTGTTGGAGTTGTATGGGTTCTTTATATATTTTGGATATTAGCTTCATATCGGAGGCGTTGTTTGCCATATCTTCTCCCATTCGGTTGGGTTGCTTCTTTGTTTTGTTTATGGTTTCCTTTGCTGTGCAGAAGTTTTTTAGTTTGATATAATCCCATTCATTTATTTTTATTTTTGCTTTTACTTCCCTTGACTTTGAGGTCAAATTCATAAAATTCTTTTTGAACCCAAGGTACATACATTTACTACCTGTGCTTTCTTCTATGCAGTTTCTTATTTCAAGTCTTATGTTTAGGTCTTCGATCCATTTTAAGTTAATTTTGGTACACAGTGATAGATAGCAGTCTAGTTTCATTCTTTTGCACGTGGCTTTCCAATTTTCCTAACACCACTTATGGATGAGGCTTTCTTTTCTTTGTTGTATGTTTTTGGTTCCTCTGTTGAAAATTATCTGCCCATAAATATGTTGGTTTATTTCTGGGCTCTCAAATTCTATTTCATTGGTCTGTGTGTCTGGTTTTCTGCCAATGCCATGCTGTTTTAATTATTGTTGCTCTGTAGTACAAGCTGAAGTCAGGGAGTGTAATACTCCAGCCTTGTTCTTTTTTGTCAGGATTGTTTGGCTATTCATGGTTTTTTGTGATTC